GAATTACATTACGTCAAGAATGCCATTGTGAAACACTTTGCTTTGCTAACAACAGTAATTTTTGCATGTAGTATATGGACAATCGACGTAAACTAAGGACTAATGATCGGGCAGCGTGGTAGTGTATTTCCACCTGCAATTAAAAAGTATTATGGTATTTGGAACATATTTATTATTCATGTTTATTGGAAACATTTACAATTTTTCTTGATACTGTAGGCGTTAAATTGATTACCACTGATGTGAGTACTACCGGAATTATTGAATGAGCACGTTTACTCACCAGCTCAGGGGCGGACTTGTGTCGTAGGTGCGGTAGTGGCAAGAACTGGAGTGTTGAAAGAATTGGAGTTCACTGTAAGGGCATTACGTCGTTCTACCTCCAATTCATTCAGTCTCTTCCACATTTCGTCCCTTTCCTTTTCTCTCTTCCTTTCTCTGACAAAATAATATATTTCTATAGATAATGTGAAAACTATCCGCACCCAGTATGTTTTATATTAAGTAAAGAAGATAATCACACCATTTACTTTATATAAATTTTTAATTGACAATGAACCAATACTTACTTTTGCCTTTCAGACTTATAGCTGGCAGTAAGTTCATCAAAAAGCCTGCTATTCATTTCCATAAATGTTTTAAGAACATTATAAACAAGAGCTACAATTGTAGGATTCCAGTGTTCCTTGCTAATTCTATACAAGGCCGGGAACATAATTCCCATTATAACATGATTGTTTTCTTCAATTAAAGACATTATATACTCATTATTCCAAAGATATAATGCTCTTTCAGCAACCTGAAACAATAATATTTTAATCATTATTTCGAATTATTCATTATATTTGTCGCTTATGGTATTAAATCGATATTTCTCGTACCTGAAAGTGTGGCGAGGATACGCAACGTGCAATTTGCCTAAACAAAGGTTCTTGTATTTTAACAAATTGGGTAGGTTCTATGACATCCAAGATTTCTTCAATTTCACCAAGGAACATTACCTCCTTCTGGCTATACGTTTTAGGCCAGAATTTAAGGAGGCCTCGTATAACAGGTTCTGTTAAAGTAGCATCCTTTTCAAGAAACTGTACCACACAATAAGCTAACTGTGCATGGTATAATGATAAGCACTTCACTTTATGTAGTGGTAACAGCACCTGAACAATAACAGATTTTTCATCAATCTTCAAAATCTATTTTACATATTACATTCTCGTCTTTATACAAATAGTTTTTACCTTAACCAGGAATTGCTTATGCTCAACTTTTAAAGGAAGAGCAAATCCGTTTATAATGCTACCCAAAATTTCAAGAAGTTCTGCAACTCCATTGAAATGCTCCGTTTCATACACAAACCTGAAATAAAAAAATATACATATATATATATATAAGTGAAAATCTATTATCTACACAATTTTATAATTATAAGAAAAATACATATACACATACCTCAAAAAAATATTATTGATCTGTTTGCGTATGAAGGCTCTAAGGCCAAGGAACTTCCCATAAATACGATGCAAGACAGTTTTTAGCAACTCCCTTTCTCTAGGATCTTCAGAATCAAACAACTCCAATAACTAGGAAGGAAAATGATTTATTACAAAAATATTACAGAAAAGAATATTATATATCGTGTATAAAGGCTATTACTGATACCTGTAAAACAAATTTTTGGTCAATAACTCTTTTGCCAATTGTAGGTTGAAAATCTGAAGATTCAAGGAAACGTAGAAAAAATTCATAAACCGGCTGAAGGTGGGGCCAGCTCGCCTCCAGTGTCGGATCGTCCTCTTCTGGATCAAAATCTGGATTTTCACTAGGTGGTAATGTGCGAAACAGATTTGCAGAAATCTGAAACAGACATAATTTTATATTAACAATATTTCATTCTTAGCTTAGACTACAGATGCTAGCTCTCCCAATGTGCTTACCATTTTAATGATTTCTGGGTAGACAGGTTCAGTAAGGACTCCCCGGCCAGTTGTGATGTATTCCACCATTTCAGTAAGTGTACTACGTTTAATTTCTTTACCCCTAAGATCTGATGTTGCATCCATAAAATCGAAGGTCACACAACATTGTCTGAGCTTTTTGATGAACAATTCTTCTTGCTCTGATGATACAACATCTGCAAAACATAAATAATTTCATGTAAATTCAATTTATGTCATGTTAACTAATGAATACTCATTATATGTATCATAATCATTCAAATAATCAATTTTTTCTATGTTAAAAGTTATTCCATTAATTATTCCAGAATCACTATTGATTTAACAACCACCCAATCATCCCGAAAAGTGTTAATATGCTGTAGGAATATTTTTTATTGACTAATACCATCGTTTTGCCATTCGCAATATTAATCATCCGATATGCCACCTACGAAGAAGCACGTCAATCCCGGTATAGTGAGATCAGCAGGCTGTAGAGTTATTTTTGGGTTTGCCTATGGTCCGCGGTATAAAATCCTTAGGATCTACTGCGAGTACTCGGCCCAGATAGAAATCGGGACACCGGTATCGAGACCTTCTTCTAACTATCAAATGGATCGACGTGACCGATAATGTGGCCAGGGTTAGGTCTGGGTTAGGTTACATTGTGTTTCGAAGGTCATGAAAGATATTTCATTATTGTTAATTAAAAGAACTCTATGCGTGTACATAATTTTATTCTAAATGATGTGAACTTGAATAATATTACAGTCCAAGGATAGTGGATACTTCGACGCATATACAAAAGTAGAGGACGTCTACGTGTACGTTACGCTTTCCACATCGTCGAAGTTATATTTTTAGTTGCTCGAAAGTAATAAAAATTTAATTTTAGGCATTCTGAAGTATAGTTTTGTTTCGAATAGAGCCTTAATAGCGTATAAATATAATAAAAGCATGAACGCGAAAATTCTTGTGTTTCCGATAACCATTTTAAACATTTGTTTAAAGTTTAGCAGTAGTTCGGATGAAATTTAATTCCGCTTACTTTCCATCGCTTTACTTTAAAATATTCGATATGATTCGCAAATATTATCCGCCTAATTTAAACTAGCCTGGATGATGACTCTTGGCACAATTTCACGTGAATACAAGAATAATAACTTGTAGGTTGTAGACAATGGCGTGGGTGGTTGAAAATTCTTTTATTTTTTACTTCTTATATCTTATAATCGCATACTGCTCGTTTTAATTTAATCCTATTGAAACTGCATCAAAGAATCATTACTAAACCGTAACTACTGCATTGGCCATTAGAATCTTATACCAATTGTGCTTATATCTCTAAACAAAATAGACCTAAATAAACTAATTTTTTATCGATCTGTTGACTGAACATAATCTTATAAATATATTTATAAACGCAGACGCACGATAATGGTTTCATAATATTTTGATGCCATGCCGGCAACATATATGCAACGCTCTCTTTGAGGTTATGTCGGATAAGGTTATGTCGGTTGAATCAAGCAGCACGAGCGCCATGTGGTATTCGTGTGGTGAACCGTTGGTAAAAGTGCAGGCATAATACGTTTCTTCAAGTATTTCGGTACCTTTAAATACAAGTTTATTTATTTAAATATAAAATTTTAATATAGATTCAAAAGTTCGTATTAATAGGAAAGGGAACACAAATATTCAACGAAATGGAACTCCCCACGTAACACGAGGAAGAACGACATAAACCATTTTGTTCTTCACTGAGCCATTCCAAGTGACAAAAACGTTCATCAAGATGCAACCAACTCGATGACGTCTCATCGCGAAACTTTATTGGAGAATTTCTTACGAGAAAATAGCCGTGGTGTAAATTACAGGTCTATATTAGCGTGTCCATTTCAGAGGTCGATCGTTTTCCTATTGGATTGAGTTTTCATTCACATTATGGAGAGCAAGGAAGAGGGGCAAGCAGGATAGAAGATGGAACAAGATTCCTTTTCTTCGTTTTCCATCTCTTTTTCTCCATTCGTCAACCCCACTCTTTCATTTCTCGATTTCTATCCCTTTTTGCTCGTGGCGTATTGATTTGCCAGGCGCTGAACTTTAAATTCGCATCTCTCGGCTCGTACCCTCATTCATCTTCAGGCTATGATGAAAGTGTAATGAAAATGGGATTCGCTGCGACAGAGATTAGCCAAATTAATCTGTTATAACCCGGATGAACGAGTTAACTCGTTTTTCGTGTCACGCCTTATTTCTCGGTAACCTTTCATTCTCTTATTTATTCAATGAATAACTTTTCGATGAATTATATTTAAACTATTATAGAGGATCGTTACGAAGTCTTTGTAAATGTGGTAGTGTTGTTCGTGTTGAGTTACGTTTCGATGACTGTACATTTGAATAATCATCTAGATAATAGGCTGACACGTTACCTATATTTTACGTAACCTATATTTTACGCAATGAAAACGAAATTAATCCTATGGATATCGTTATTAGAAATTATAAACTACGACATTACGTTTAAGGACTCGATTACTTGTTTCAGTTTGATTTTTCTAATATTTTGTTTAGACGATTCAAAATTGCTTGACGCTATTTCTATCGGAGGTGTCAAAGGACACCTTTTGAAGTTTTATTTTAAAATTATTTTCTTAGTTGAATAATTTGTCCTCGATTGAATTTTGGACATTTTCTGTAGTTAATTTTATAATCGTTACTGGAACAGTCGGAAAGTCAGTTCAGAATATACGAAACTCGGAGAATAATTTTAAGTGAAAATTTCAGGTGTCATTTGACAGCTAGAAATAGTGTCGAATACAATTACAATAAGAAAATTGATGTCGAATAAAAATATTTAGTAACACAAACAGATGATAGTGTAACACGTGTACTGTGATACTAAATCATTAACCCTTTGCACTCGAAAATTGTTTCGCTAGATATATTCGTCATTTTCTAATGAAATATCAATAACTAATATTAATATAAATAATGTAGAAAATAAAATAGTTTCACGGATAATTACGTCAAATGAACTTTAATATTACAACTTTGTAATTTTGCTGTATCAAACAAAATGTCAAAAGGATTAATAATTATTTCTAATACCATTTGCCTTTGCGACGAACATCTATCGTTACACAGCACGTCCGAAATTCTCGTGGCAGTCAAAACACTTAGGCAATCGGCTGAAAAGGACTATGACTTAACCTTCATTACCTTCAATTGAACTTCAACTGATTTTATCGCGAACATCGTTCCATAAAATCGAGGAAGATGTCCGACAAATTCCAAATAACTCGAATTCAATATTAAATAACAAAAAAAGAGAACTGAACAAAATAAAAGGCAATGCGTTGCCAAGGGAACAACGGGAGATCTCCTAAGCGTTAACCAATCGAAACCGACGGAAGAAAATACATGTTCACTTCCGTTGCCTCGAGACGTCGAAACTCGCTAAGATAAGCGACATCGATAAAAGTGTAAATTTATCCTGTCGCTGTACATTTTGATTCTTCGTTGGCTCGCTGATCCGTGTCGAGTCAGGGCACGAGACAGACCCCGGACAGTTCTATCGAGCCGATAATCAGAATTCGATGATCGTATCGTCGCCGAGGCGCAAATACGTTCTCGCGAGAGCTTTTGAATCGTAGATTGCGCTATCGGACAAGATAATTAACGTGGAAGGCCGTAACGCTGAACCAATGTCGCTATTTGCTCGTTAAAGCGAACTTCCGCGATCCGCCGTTCTGTTCCCCTTTATTACAATATGGAATTCCGTCCCGCGAAACCGCGAAACGTAATAAGACGGACGATTAATTCCGCGCGTGCAACGTCACTTCCGCCGATTAATTAATAAACACTCCGATCCGGGACCTGCCACCTGAAAACCAGTTGTTCGCGATATAAATCGAAAGCTCGACCGATGTCCGTCGGTCGAGCTCGATTGGACGACTCGCGCGATACGTATCGTGTCACTTGACATAACCTCAAAAATAACGGAGAGGTTATCGTTATTTCCCGTTCGATTTTCATGGAAATCTGGGATAATTGAATTCCAAGTGAAGGACGTTACGGTAGAACACGATCGATACGATTTCGTAGACTGCAAATCGAAGCGTCGGTTGAGGGAAGAGTAAGGTTATGCATCAATATGCCATGCCAGTTGTACATCGCGTTAAATTAATCGAAGTAGAAACGTCGATATAAGA